TATGGCAAGACTCCAGAAAAAAATTATTCTCATGTACATGTGACATACCTGATTAAGTCACTGGCAACTAATTAATCACCAACGACAGAATCAACCCACCCTTTGCTGTGGAATCACTCTCTCAGTACCTGCACCAGTGAGACGTTGTTCTTTCACTGCTGCCAGTTGCTAGTTTTTAAATCACCAATATGACATGGCCATAAGTCCAGTTCAAAATACGGGCCTATCTTGTTGCCAGATCGCACCATCAATACACCTATAACTAGATCCAGACTGGTAAATTATCTGTTATTATTTTAACATTGTAACTGAAAATTGTAATATTTATTTCACTGGGAGAATGGCATGTAGACAGTTTTTCTAAATGACCACAAACTTGATTGATAAATACATGGGGTAGGTAATCTAATGATAGTAACCAGCATATGATATTCTTTTTTTATATTTCACATAGCTATATTTACAGTTCTGCTCTACATTTTTACATAGATTAAGCTGTTCATCGAACTTGACAGATATAGATGTTGGGATAAATTTTTAACACTGCCAGAGGTGTTTGAACAGTAACATAAATATTATATAGATATATCTATATATCTGTATAGATATATAGATATATCTATATATAGATATATCTATATATAGATATATCTATATATCATCTATATATGTATAGTGATATTTGGGGAATTTAGTACATAGGGTGAGCGCTTAAGGACTAGTCTCAAAGCCGTTTTACCAGGAAAAGGACACAGTCTTTTATTTCTTTTGTAACAGAAGTTCTTCAGCGGTACAACATACATTCTGCTTGTATTTCAGCAAACAGATTATCTCCCCATTCACAGGTTGTCCTGTTTAGTCAGAGTGTCCCAAGACTTTACTGTTTTCCTCAACAAAAACTCTTCAGAAATACCATTCAGCATCTTTTGATTCCAACACACACACACACCTTGTGAGTCTGGCTCTCTCAGCCTCTCCAAACCTTCCAGCCTCCCAGGCTGTACCTTGCATGCCTCCAGCACACACCACACCAACTCCTCCCATTGAGCTCTGGTCTGCTCTCAGCCACCCGATCACCGGCAACACCTGACCTCAGGCCTGTAGATTTCATCCCACCCAGAACTCTGTAGGTCCCCACACACCTTGCGATAATCGTACGATAATCGCTGGAAATCCCGCGATCGTACGATTATCGTAAGGTGTGTGGAAGCCGTGCGACCTCTACTACTGTAAGGTCGCACAACTTTTAACTTACGGACATGTTCGAAAACCCGCCGAGCATCGTACGATGTTCGGCAGGTGTGTAGCATGTTCGTACGATAAAAGCCGGACGGGCCGGTGTGCGCAAGAGCACACTGCCCGTTCAGCATTGCGGTCATCGGAAGCCCGTCCCTCAGGGGGGCGCGGCTTGCGATCATCGCAAGTACGATCTGCCTGTCCAAAATAGGCAGATTGTACGTTTTTTTTAAGTACCTTACAACCATCGCAAGACAAAAGTCTTGCGATGGTTGTAAGGTGTGTGCCCAGCATAAGAAATCTCCAGAGTTCCAGATCCCGGCTACAATCTGGAAAAAAAAACAAGAAATCCGAAAGGGCAGCTTCTTCCCTGCAAAAGTATTTATATTATGGAACCTCTTAGCCCCTCTGGCTGAGAGTCCTGGGTGTCTGTGTTGCCAGCATACTCCGTGGCATTGTGTGTGTGTGTGTGTGTGTGTATGTATATATATATCCCGCTATATACTGAGCTTTGGGTCATGGGAGGAGGTTAGTATATGTCCTCCCATGATCCTAAAGAGAACTATGGGGAAAAACACTTACCTCATAGTTCTATTTTAAGTAGGAAGGCAGTTCTGGGACTCAACTGAAGGATAAAGCTGCCAGCTTAAACACTTCCTTCACAGAGGTGATGGCTACAAGAAACGCCATTTTATGGGCAAGAGTGGAATATCTCTGATGGGTTCAAATGGCAGTTTTTGAAGTGCAGAGAGAACCAAATTCAGATCGCACAGAGAAACAAGGGAGTAAGCGGGGGAACAAATACCCTTAAGAGTCAAAACTGTTTCTTTTAGTTTGGGAGTGATGGGAAAAGACTGCAACTCTTCGTGGGAAGGTCATGTTTGCAGGAAACAGTCTTCAATTGATCCCATAGTAATGTACCTAACAGTATTTTTGGTTATTGAATTAGGATACTTTATTAATTGATCTACTTCAATGTATAAATGTATTATCACAGATGTAGACCTCTTTATTCTGCAGTCTTTTTTATTTTATTTATGTTTTTGGGGCCCAATTCAAGGACACACAAATGCTCACCCACACATCTAATAAATGTCAGGTTGATAAGACCATCTTACATGTTTGTCATCTATATCTAACCTATTGTATATGACATATGACAGAGAGAAAAGCAAATACTTAATTACATGACATTATCAGCTGCTCAGTGACTATGACATTTTGCTTGAAAACCGCAAGTTTCTAAATGCAGAAGCACACAAAGGAAGATGTCAACAACCCCCTACATAAACAAACACAAATGTAAAGGGTTTACATACAAACAGTAAAAAATAAAGCAAATTAAGAATTTATTAAAAACTAAAAACTTTCTTTTTTTAACTACAACCCACCGCGTACACAGTTTAAAGAGCAAAGGGGTGCTGGTGTAAGGGGAGAATGAGTTAGAGAAAAGATGTTCAGAAGGAATAGAAGAGGGGTGACACCCATAGCTATCCGACAACACAAGTGGGCCTTTGCTGATGGCCATCTCTCCTCTAGTGCTGGGACAATGTCCTCTGGCACTCAAGGCAAGGATGCCAAAGTGTGCCTGTCTTAAGGGCAAAAACAAGAGAAGAGAAGGGAAGGTAGAGGATGCCAAAGTGTGCCTGCCTTGAGGGGAGAAAAGGTAGGGAAAAGAAAGGAGAAAGGTGTCCCGGCTCGGACGCAGACAGGATCCATCCTGTCAGCGTACGAGTACAGACACCCGCACCCACGTGCAGGGCGGGTAAGCGTAGGACGGCGTACGGCCACGTATCCCCATAGAGAATCACATGCAGCACCTGTCCTTCCCTGGAGCTGCCCAATGCGGCCATGCACGCAGCACGAAGCTGTACGTGCCGGCCTTTTCTCATGTGAATGAGGCCTAATAGACATGATTCGTTTAGCTCCAAATTGAAATTGGTACCAAATTTTAGGAAATTCGGGCATTCGCATGCATCCGAAAACAAAACAACAACAAAAAGTGTGGAGTCCCCTCCCAATTCACACCAGACCCTTTAGGTTTAGGTTAGGCTTGCTGGCATATACATATATCTCTCCCTACTGAATTTTTAAGTGGTAAAATCACACTCTGAGTTATCACTTTATGAAAGCAAAGACAGGCCTGTTGTTTGACCATTATTAGAATCTGCCAAAAGTATCTGTTCAACTTAATTGATTTAAGGTTCTTGGCATGATGAAATGGAATATGCTGCAAAGTTAAAAGAGTATAAGTATTGTGCTGCACCACTATAAAGTCCAAGCATGGATGAAAATGTAAAATGTTTGCAAGTTAGTTAAATAAAAAGTCTTCTGAACAAACATGTGCAAAAGATATGTGTTTACAGTGCAAAGTCACTAACAAATCCCCATTATACTCACCAGGATACAGCTGTGAGGATGCTGTTTTAGTGTTTTCATCGACTCCTGACTGTGATGATTCATAATAATAGAAACACTGTTCAATAGCTGCAATAATCTGGAAGACAGCACAACAATACCAATGACCAAAATGGTCCTCTTAAGACCCACAGAGAACATTTTATGGAGCTAACAGATTGAGTTAATTAAATCCATCTTTTCTTCTTTGTTTTCAAATCTTCCTCTCTTGACGGTATTTCTACTTTGAAGTGATCCTTTTTTAAGCGTAAAAACAATTTTGTGTAACATGTATACCATTAATATAAGTTAATAGATCAAGAAAACTGATATATAAAACACACTGAGGGTAATTTATCAAAATTGGAGCAGACAAAATATGGAGCAGTTACACATGGCAACCAATCAGCTTCTCTCTTTTAGAAGGGAAGGTAGAGGATGCCAAAGTGTGCCTGCCTTGAGGGGAGAAAAGGTAGGGAAAAGAAAGGAGAAAGGTGTCCCGGCTCGGACGCAGACAGGATCCATCCTGTCAGCGTACGAGTACAGACACCCGCACCCACGTGCAGGGCGGGTAAGCGTAGGACGGCGTACGGCCACGTATCCCCATAGAGAATCACATGCAGCACCTGTCCTTCCCTGGAGCTGCCCAATGCGGCCATGCACGCAGCACGAAGCTGTACGTGCCGGCCTTTTCTCATGTGAATGAGGCCTAATAGACATGATTCGTTTAGCTCCAAATTGAAATTGGTACCAAATTTTAGGAAATTCGGGCATTCGCATGCATCCGAAAACAAAACAACAACAAAAAGTGTGGAGTCCCCTCCCAATTCACACCAGACCCTTTAGGTTTAGGTTAGGCTTGCTGGCATATACATATATCTCTCCCTACTGAATTTTTAAGTGGTAAAATCACACTCTGAGTTATCACTTTATGAAAGCAAAGACAGGCCTGTTGTTTGACCATTATTAGAATCTGCCAAAAGTATCTGTTCAACTTAATTGATTTAAGGTTCTTGGCATGATGAAATGGAATATGCTGCAAAGTTAAAAGAGTATAAGTATTGTGCTGCACCACTATAAAGTCCAAGCATGGATGAAAATGTAAAATGTTTGCAAGTTAGTTAAATAAAAAGTCTTCTGAACAAACATGTGCAAAAGATATGTGTTTACAGTGCAAAGTCACTAACAAATCCCCATTATACTCACCAGGATACAGCTGTGAGGATGCTGTTTTAGTGTTTTCATCGACTCCTGACTGTGATGATTCATAATAATAGAAACACTGTTCAATAGCTGCAATAATCTGGAAGACAGCACAACAATACCAATGACCAAAATGGTCCTCTTAAGACCCACAGAGAACATTTTATGGAGCTAACAGATTGAGTTAATTAAATCCATCTTTTCTTCTTTGTTTTCAAATCTTCCTCTCTTGACGGTATTTCTACTTTGAAGTGATCCTTTTTTAAGCGTAAAAACAATTTTGTGTAACATGTATACCATTAATATAAGTTAATAGATCAAGAAAACTGATATATAAAACACACTGAGGGTAATTTATCAAAATTGGAGCAGACAAAATATGGAGCAGTTACACATGGCAACCAATCAGCTTCTCTCTTTAATTTTCAAATCTTAACTGAACAAACTGAAGATAGAAGCTGCTTGATTCCCGTGGGCAACTGCTCCAGATTCTGTCTGCTCCAGTTTCGATAAATTCCCCACAGTGTATTTAAAGCCTAACTCTGGGAAGTTTGAGAATAACAATTCCTCCCCCATCCCAACTGATAAAGAGCTAGTGTGTTATTTTCTAGGGCATTTGTAGAACAGAGTAATGCTTATCTTAATCCATGATTTCATTGTTTTCCTCCACATCGGTGCCAGTGGTGACCAGTCCCACCAAAGCCACTCTTACTGTTAGTCTGGGACCAGTCATGGCACTGCCCTTCTTGTTGACATCATGTGCAATGCAGGAGCAGCATCCACCAATAGTCCTGCGTTGTCATGATGTAAGAGTGCCCGTCTACATTACATTGCTGGAGAGATGAAGCTCTGCCACTGTCACTGGACTGCAGCTTACATAGAGTATTACTCTGTGTTAGGTCATCCCCTAAATGAGCAATAGATCCCTTATTAGATTGGGGGGGTTAATGATTCTGGAGCTACCTGGATTTAGGACTTATTTATTCTACAACACATTTCAGAAATGGGTAGAACTTTTGGAGATAGTCCACTCAAAGATTGTATCGCGGTGAGAAGTGGGTGACGTCATCTTTAGCCTTCTCATAAGTCTCCAAAGCTACCATGTTGGATCCCCCTGCCATAGTTCCGAGCTCTGTTCCCACCCACCTCGGAGATTTAGGCTGTTGCAGGCCACCTTGTATGTCCCCTTTTCTACTGTTGCATAATATCTAATAAATAATCATTTAAATGGGCTAAAAACTCCAACAGGGAGAGAGAATACCATTGGCTCAAGTATACATATAAAAAATATGATGAAAATAAGTGTAAATATCTAGAGATCAGTAAGAAATCATTAAGTAATTTAAGCTGGCTATACTTCAGGGTTTTTTTTTGTCGTTCAATCAGCGGGCTGAATTAAAAAACAAATAGAACAGATTTCTCCTTAAACATTTACGATTGTTGATGCATGAATCAACGGCTGTTTCCTTTTTATTCTTACAGCGGTCGCAGTTTGCTGTCAGTATGCACAAAAAGTGCATGCAGCTGATGGGCTGTAAGCACTGTTCCTTTGAAGAATCCACAACTCTGCCCCAAGTTACACCATTAACCTCACTTCTAAATATCACCCAAACTCTCCTCTCTGTTCCTCCCATGACCTCCTGCTCTGTAGCTTCCTCATCACCTCCACCTATGCTCGCCTGGAGGACTCCATAGATATGTATGCACCTCCATATGTATCACCTGAAGTTAGTCCCGTGTGTAAATCTGTCCAGCTTAAGACTGAGATTTTAAAAAACGTTATCGCTCTAGTGCAATTAAAGATCAGCAGCAGCTTAAAGTAGTTTTAAGGTCAGCGCATTTTTTACCTTAATGCATTCTCTGCATTAAAGTAAAAAAATGTTCTATACCTTTCTGTGTCCCCCATCCCCCCCAAACGTACCCGTCAGCGCCGATTGTAACTGCCGTTGGTCCCCGAATTGATCCACCGCCATAGGCTCCTTCTGCTGTCAATCAACTTATTGGGCAGAGAGGAGGGGCGTTGCTGGCCACAGGGCTGTGTTTGTCTATGGACGCACACAGCCAAGGCTGGCAACAAGCACACACGGGTGTCTCCATAGCAGCAGTTAGCTGATGGAGGCGCCCGTGGAGGGGGCAGGCGGAAAACGCTGGGAGGACCACTGGAGAACGAGGAATTGAAAGAATAAAAAAAAAAAATACAAGATCTGCCATATCTACAGATAAAACAAACAAAAAAAGAGAAAGGTTTAATGTCCCTTTAAGTAGTATTGGTCCTCTAAAATGGTGTTATACACATGGAAGAAAGGTAAATAGCCGACAGTACACATTAGTTTACACATAAAACACACTGCTTACCAGCGATTTGTACTTCTTTTCCAGAAGCCTTAAAACCACAGTCCTGCTATAATGGGCATGCTGAAAGGCAAAAACAAGGCAGTGCAGTCAGTATAATTAAAAGTGTTGGGACTCGCATCAAACTCACTACTGGGCACTTTGACCCTTTCACATCCCGAACATAAAGGGAAAACAATATCATACACTATTAGTGTATGGAGCTTTATGCATTCTTTGGTAAGATATTTTAAAGCATAACTCTCTCCTATATGTGGTTTGAAAAACTCTATTTAGGCTTTGTAGAGACAGGATAATGTAGATACAATGAGGGGAATTTATCAAAACTGGAGCAGACAAAATCTGGAGCAGCTGTGCATGGCAACCAACCAGCCGCTCTCTTTCATTTTCAAATCCTAACTGAACAAACTGAAGATAGAAGCCGATTGGTTGTCCTGGCAACTGTTCCAGTTTTTGTCTGCTCCAGTTTTGATACAACATGACAATGTCTATGCTTCCTACTAGGGAGGCACCAATACCAGTTTTTCGGTATCAAGTACCAATTTTTTTTGGTATTCGCCAATAACGAAACTGGGCGGCGTGTAATGAATCACCACACGGCTTCCTGGCTAATCAGGATCCTGGGAGGCTTCCCGATTAGCCATCTCTCCATGCTCCCTCATCACTGGGGGCGGGTAATGACACGCCACCTGGCTTCCTGATTGGCCATCTTCCCGACCAATCAGGTAGCTGGGCGGCGAGTCATTACACGCCCTCCGGCTTCCTGATTGGCCAGGAAGCCGGCATCATGCTCCCTCGTCACCAAGTGAGCCAATCTAGTAAGAAGAACATGGAGCTGACATGTCCCGTGTCATACGCTAATATTAAAATGATATACTCATATAAAAACATATATACGTATATGCATTAAAAATGGCTTATAAATATGCAAATAGGTTTGATATCAACATAGAAAAATATATTGTACATGTAATGTCAATTAGTTATTTTAATATCACAATACTGCTAAGGTAAATATAATAATAATTACTATTAATAATAAATGTGCAAACTAGCAAAAAAGAAGCCTGTGCTAGGGAAGAAAAGTTGTGCATAGCCGTGGGTGGGCAGCGATGGTCACAGGATGTAGGCAAGGTGAGTGCCAGAAGCTCAATGTGTATGGTGGCTGTCACTACACCTGGGTGGGTGCAATTTTATTTGTTTTTAATCTTTTTTGTGTGTGTGTTTATGCAATATCACTTATTATATGTATTCCCGTTGTATATGTTCATAGATACCTTATACTTTAACAAAGATTTATCATTATTCTTTGGAATATAGTGGTGCGGATTAATATATAAGGTTTGTGGTTTGTTAAATAAAAGTGATAGTACATTTTGCACAGTACTAAGCCACCAGGAACACGTAACTTCATGAAATGAAACAAAACATATTTTTTTTCAATTACCATCCATTTCTTGAACCACACAGCCTTTGCATCAATCACAGACAAGTAAAAGACTGGTTCCAGCAGCATTTGAGAACTTGAATCCTGAGTTATAGTTAATAGGGATAATGTGCTCTCTATAATCTCTTCCATGTACCTAATTGGAGAGAAAAATGTTACTAATCAACTAAATGAACAAATAATTACCACTAAGAGTAGATTAGCATATTTGTTATTTTAGTTCTTTTAAATAAACATACTTAAGGCAGATTTATTTGTCAGGCCCCTGCCTAGATGCTTTAAATATATCTTTAGGTTTCTCTTTGCAAAGACAGCTGGGTGGCCAGAGATACACAGTAGATCAAACTTATAGCACCAATTCAGTCATGGTATAAAAAGCATAAAAGGGCCTTAAAAAATATAACTGAAAAAGTGGAACCCCCATCCCGCCAGCCTTTACTGGTGTCTTCTCCGGGACACGAAGAACCAGAGGAGCACTATGTGGCAGAGGGGGCACTGATCAAATTGTGCAAATTCATATATGGGTGCTTTTCTAGGTACTGTAAAAAAGATTAAATCCAGTAGGTAACCCCCAATCAACTTTTAGGAGCACAAGAAAAACAGCACCAGACAAAAAGCAACAGGACAATTTCCATTAGGATTTCATCCATTGCTGACTCTAATCTCCCATGTACACTTCCTGGTCCTTATGTTTCCTCCAGCTCCTCCAACCAAGCTCAGTACATCAGGGTGTGCCAGCTATAAGTGAGCTTGGAACCATATTTTAAGCAAAGTTAAGTAAACCTGACATTAGAGAAAGATGAGGGCTGCCACTATTGATGTCTCAAATTGCTAGCTGCCTAGCAGACACAATGACCCCACGGCTTTAATACGTTCAGAATCAATAACCCTTAACAAGCAATCCGATCAGGAGGTCGGACTTCATTCAAGATTTATATTTTAATTAACTCCTTAATGATATAAGGCCAAATAAAATGTGTAAGTGAAATTCTCAGATCTATCCAGTTATGTAAGGGTATATTTATAAACAATTCACAGAGCCATTGGCCCCTATGAATAGTCGTTCTGTGTGAATGGATGCACAAAACAAATGTTGCGGTTATATTTTCTTTATCTGTTGAATGCATTTTCAAATCTCATCTTGTAATACTGCATTATGGGCACTAGATGGAACTGAGGAGCCTAGGAAATAAATACTTATTTTCTGTGCTTTTTTTGCTCTATCTAGTGGCCATAATGCCATATTACAAGAGGGCATTTCAAAATACATTTGATCTATAAAGAAAATATAACAGTGAAGTCTATTCTGTGCATTAATTCACACAAAACAAATATTCACAGAGATTTGCCTGACCATTGGCTCTGCAAATAGTTTATAAATAATCCCCTTAGTGTATCCAAGTAAATTATACCTTGTTTTTTTCTGGACATTTTGGACCTTCTTTCGATGGTAAATATTAATGGAAATCTCTGTATTTTTTTCCAATTGATAACAAAAAGGAAATTGGCCAAAAATAGTAAATACATAATTTATTGAACATTAGCTGTATATTTCTTGCCATAACCATGACCCGCCACCAAAAATAAATACATTCCCCTACTCCTGCCATAACAATAGATACAACAAGAAACAATAGTGCACAGGGACAACACTAGACTGAGCAGCTGTCTGTTTAGCTTGGAGGAGCAGCGAGGGTGCTTGTATGTTGGAGGTTTTGGGGTTGTGTGTTTGTATAGAGGCACACAGCACCGGGAGACACTGCTTTTAGCTTTGCTGGGAACACTCACGCAAAAGGTTGCTCAATAGGACCCTGCAAGGGAGTGGAGCCACCAAACACATGAAATGTTATGCCGTGAACAGGGCACCTTATTAAACTGGACCAATGGCAAGTGGTTCAAGATCAAGTGGTTGAATACTAAGTAAGTCTTTCAATCAACTGCTGAAACTCTTTAAAACAAATAAGGGTTTAATAAGACTTGAATATAGTCAAGAACCAGCTGCACTCCTTACCGGAATAGTAGTAAACCTGCCAAGCAGGTGGGTGCTTGTAGTGACCACAGATGGCCCCGTGAACAATTGGCTATAGAGCCGCCGATCGTCTATATGTGAAACACCCGGCAACGGGTGTTTGTATTGGTCGGGTCTTTTCTGCCCGTGCGTGCCCGCTAGGGGGCGCGCGCGAGCAGAAAAAAAATGCCATCTGGAGACGGCAACCCGCCAATGCTGCAGTGCTGTCCGTCCGTTTTTTTACAACGGGCGGACGGCAAGTGGTTAATAAGACTTGAACTTGTCAAAATTCTTCAGTTATTACTGAGATTTACACAGCTCTGACAGACAGCACATCTAGGTTGCTGACCTGTCAATTTTTTCTACTGCAGTAAACTAACACGGTTTGATGAGACCCCTGCTACCCCATCACCCCCCCATATGCATAGAATGAGCTGTAGAACAGTAATGATGCAAACTATCTATCTGCTTCTCCTGTCAGCATGCTCCTTTTCAGCATATTGCTTATGCAGCAGAGCTTGACTGACCCCTAGAGCTGATCTTTCCTCTACCAGTCCGAGTGCCGCTGTGTAGGGATTAACAGGGTTTATATCGAAACTTTGAATTCTGTACATAAGCTGGCCATATATGGAACAAATTTCGATTTTTCAATCGATTTTTTCGAAGGAGGCGGTGGAAAATGTTCTGTTGAGCAATAACTGCAACCAATCAACTGAAGTCACATTCAGGTATTTTGACAGCCAGCTGGACTGAACACGAAATATCTTCCATAAATGAACAGCTTAATACTAATTGCATTTAAAAATACTTTGCATTACTGTAATTAATACATTAATAAAGGAATTAAATGGCGCGTTATACATCTGTCTGGAGCTTAACATTAATTATGACTTCCTGTCTGGAGCTTAACATTAATTATGACTTCTAAACAGATTTATTAAAAAATATGACATATTGATAACATACTTTTCTGGATGTCGAATCCAGAAAGATGGAACCTCCTTTTGGTAGTCATTTAACAGTCGAATCTGAAGGAACAAGAAAACAAATGCACGTGTCAATTTCCAGAAATAAATGGCATTTTTGTTGAATCACAGAAAAAGATATGGAAAACCGTTCTTTAATTACCTTTTTCAAAGTACGCACTACTTCAGGGTTGTTAATATCTATTCCAGTTAATAGTATTTGCCTGCGACTTTCCCTAGAAACAAATGACAATTCCAAATGTTTGGCTGGAAAAAAAAACAAAATACAAAACCAGTATAAATACAGTGTTTGCTGTCAACACAATAATAAACACAAAAGCACGTTTCTGAGTTAAAACACACAATATGCATGCACAACTGCAGATCTGCATGTGAATTATTCAACATTCTGGTTTCCCTGCCGCCTCAAGGGTCAAATACTTCAGCTGTGTGCAGAATGACTTATTACGCACTGTAAAATTCAATTAAATTTGACTACCTAGCATGCAGTTTAAAGACAGAAACTGCTAGGTGAGCTATGAATTGTGAGATAAAGTTTTCCTATAATAAGTCACCGTGACTGCTTGCTAAGGAAAAATATGTTTTAAAAGTATCGTTTGTAAACCATGGTTCAAAATGTCATTAGATGCTAGCTACAATGATATAAGCGTCTTCCATACAGACATTATTTAACATTCCAAGGATCTATGAAAATTATATCTCTCATGCATCCATAATCCACAGGTGCACAAACTTTTGCATGCTAGGGTCAATGTTCGATTGTTCAGGATTGCATAGATGGTGTGGTTACCCAATAACAGAGCAGAAAAGTATCTACTGTAATATTTCAGAGAGCCACAAAAAGTGACAGTAATGAGTTTCTAAATTTGAGTTCCTGGCACTAAAGCCATGCACCTCTGTTTTAACTCATGAGGATAGAAATATGGAAGCTGCCCTAGCCGGCTTGTTATTAAAAGGTAAAAGGCAACAGAGGTATCATCTTAATGATCACTACACTAGCTAGTATGCCAATCCTGTAGCTTGTTAGTCAGAAATGGCACCTACAATACCTTTCTCCTCTCAGGTTCACTTTAAAGCGAATTTAAAATACTAAGTTTTCTACTCTTAAAATCCAAGATAAAAGGTTTGTTTAAGCAAACAGTCAAGGCAGTGTATTGTCTTATAATGATTGCTGCTGAACTCTGAAGTTCCAGGGCGAGGTAAAAACATGACTTTCAAGTTCAGTGAGGGTAATACATAATTAAACATTTACTGCAATTTGTAAGCTATGTATTCAGTTCAGATCTTTCACGAATATGACAATATACTTGGATTCAAGGGTACAGCGAGAGCCTGTTCCCACCAGCAGTTTGCACTATTGCCAGGCTACTGGTAAGCATTTTCAAGTTTTGTCAAGGAACTGGCACAATGCACTGATTACAGCGCACCTCACGGTTTACCTTTTCTTTTTCTAACATTATTGAAATGTCACAAAGTGACATTTCATTCAGATCTACTCACTGCAGTGCATTGCGGTACACTGCTTCGCAACACGTTGAGCTCTTTTTCAACACACACCACTAGAGATGCACCAATACTTTTCAGATACCAGTGCCGATACTTGCCATTTTCTTGAGAACTACCAGGGTTGCAACGGTTGTAGTTGGGAACTGGCTCTGGCACTCTACCACTGTCCTGAAATCATTAGTCTCTATTGTTTTAGAAAAATTGTCACATGACAATAAACAAAAATGTATCAGTACATGTGGGCAAGTATCAGTACTTGTACTTGCAAAAATGGTATCGGTGCATCACTTTATTTATAAAAACAAAATACATTAAAACAGAAATGTACAAATCACAGGAGCTCTGTGTGCTCCTTACAAATGACAGCTGCCTCCTAACTTGAATTTTTCTCTAGTCTTATCTTGGAGCTCTTAAAGTATCTGTACTTGTACCTTGTACGGTACTTGGCATCAGTGCAGTCCTACAGACCACCATAACGCAGTGGAGTGAACTGACTTAGGCTGTCCAGTACAGACCAATGCATTGGTGTGAACAGGCTCTTGGGGTCCTACAGGCACACAATCTAGAAATTGTAGACAGTGGATGACACCTTTTCTTTTTTGCCTCTCTTTCCTCTCTTTTCCTCTTCTTTGCCCTCTCTCCTCCCTCCCCAAACTTTGTCATCTATCTCTTCTTCTGTCCCACTCTCTTTACTCCCTTCCTTGGGTACCGTGTATAATGCTTTAAGTTAAAGTGTATTTAAACCCTTACAATGAACTTCTCCTTTTTGGTCTGCTAAATATACCATTAAAGTTTTCGTTATATCTATTTGACAAGTGCAAAAAATACCCGTTGATTTTTCCAGCAGTCTTGTGAGATGATAACTTCCTGAGCACAAGGAGGGGAGATGGAGATAATAACGGGGGGTGGGGCATAAGTGTAGGGCTATGTACTTTCAGATATGATGCAGACAGGACTAACACCATATGCTTAGGATTTTGAACGCAAAAGACACTGTGATATCAGCTCAAACAAAAAAAAAACTAAAAAGGAGCACACTATATTTCTGGCACTTTAACAATATTTTCCATACTTGCAGTGTGTTTAAAAGGCTAAAACAATTCTAGAATGCTCATGTGTATTCTAAAAAATTAACTGATTTTTGCTTCCTGTTCCCTTGGGCCAAATGTCTTGTGCTGCTCCCCTCCTACCCCAGCCAACTGGCTAGCCTTAGTATTTATGATGTGCAAGTGGCTTTGGGACACCCCCTTGGCAGCTCTGCCACCCTAGGCTATAGCTTGTATTAACGATGTAGCAATCTGTCCAAGATTTTAGTCTCTGCAGGCAACTGTGGTACACCCAAGATATTAGGTACTTGACAGCAGCTCTTGCTCAGAATTAATAGATCCATTAATGTCACTACATGCATCACACAGTTCTAAATCATATGAGACCCCTGGTAGCAAGGAAATATCCTAGTTAACCCAGTATGGTGTTACCCATTCCTAATGGATAAACTGCAAAGCCAATTTTGCATTATGAGGTGGCAGTATTTTGCAATACTGGTGTAAAAATGCATTAACCACGGGTATTTTAGCTGGATCAGCTTAAAATGCTTATTATTACTGGCATGGCCAGTTTTTATTTTCATTGAACATTTTTCTGTGGCTCTCTAGCACACTTCTTATAATTTCTCTAATTTAAAAGATATGGAAATACATTAGGTCTTGATGCCATCTATCTGTATGTTACGCCTTCATTTCAATCTAACCTTTGTTACTTTATTTGACAGAAGAATAAAGGGAGAGATGTATACCTATATGAAGAACATTTATCTCAATGGAGAGATGTTGATTCAATGCAGAAAAGCAATTACATACCTGGATGATAGGACAGGAATAGTGCAAAATGAAAACATGTTCTCTATTGTCCCTTTTCAAATCCATCATCTGCCTTTGTAAAGTGCCCTTGAGAACTGAATATTTCTTTGCAGACATACAGGCTCTTGCCAAAGGTCAAGGATAGCCTTATATACTTTCATTACAAAACTTAGTAAGCTATAGTTGAGTGGTATGCCATAGCCATTTCATATTAAACATAATACATATTCAACTATATTATAAAGTATTTTCATAGAGCTTACGTCTTCCCTGTTTGGTTGTTTAAAATGGGGATAATATTCACCCACCTGCCATCCACTCTGCATAGAGTTATTCTCCATATGATTTGGGACAGTGCTATAATTCGACTCTTTGGGTCATAAATCACTACTTTTATGTCTCAGAATTTTACCATTCTCAACATATGTAGTTCCTTGGTATTTTTGGAAAATTATAGTCTTGAATAGGGTATCCACTACAGCTCGACCCTTGTTAAGACTAGTCAACAGGTTAATACATTATACTGTATGGGATAACGTATGAGGCAAGAGGATGTTCCACTACCGTTGACAAGATATGGGGGCATAGATAGTTTCCCCCAATTCCTGTGAACAACTGTCTTCCATGTGATACCTTTGTCTATGATCTAATAACCCCAACATCACCACTGGATGAAGAAACATTATTTTAATGTTAATGGACAATCTTATACCATACAGACAACACTACTTTACCAATTATTTTATTATTTGCTCCAAATTGTTAGTTCTTACAAAATAATGAAGCGCTTAACCCTCTTACTGCCATTGGCATATGTCATACAGTGGAACAATAACGTTTCCAGCTGGCCAGGTCAGTATGCCTCATGTCAGCTACATTCAGCCTTGTGCTTTAAGCTCATGGTTGCTTCAGTGCCCAGGAACTTATAATAGAAGGCTCCCCCTGATTCTTCTGTGTAAATGAACAAGTGTCATCATACCCCCCCACCCCCATCACCGCTGCTCTGTATTATTCCCAACTGCTGCTCAATCCTTCCCGCTGGGCATCAACAATCTGCTTCCCTGCTGTCTCTGGTAAAACAGGCAGGATAGGAAGGCACACAGAGCAGAGCATGCTGCCCGACACTCAGTATAAAGGAATAAGCTTCAGGTGGAGAGGATCCAGCTACAGTTGGGCGGCGGATTAAAGATGCAGTGCGGAGGATCGGTAAATATGTGCAATATTTACCGAAGCCCCTAATAGCAATAAAAATAAATCTTCTAAAAAATGCAATACAATGTGGCAGCCACATGTGCAGAACCGCCTACAAATGTAATCTTTCTTCATGTGTGATTGGCTTACAGGTTTTCCCAGAACTCTGCTCCAATATACAAGTAATGTAGTCATCCCCTGTAATAGAATTTTGGTGAGATACCCCCTAAAGGTTAACTACTTTTAAAAAAGGTATGCAAACACTGCTATTTTCCTCCATAAAACACTAAAATTACAGAAGGTGGTTATAATGAACTAGACCCTCCCATTCAGGAATCAGTCAGGAAAGAACAAGCAGAAAACAACAACTTTTCTTCAAAACAGAAGCATTACACTTTAATGTATACCATGTACCGATGTACCTGTATTTGTTTAACTAACTTTTTTATATTAAAAAAATAAAAATGAATGCATTATCAGAAAAGGGAAGACAAACATACATACCTAAACTTGTATAGACTTCTCTTGCCATATTCAGTGATGATGAAGAAAATGTTTTAGCATAAAAACGTAGAATTCTTTCCTAAAATGAACAACATACATTAGTTGTGTGTGCCTGGTCACAAAGGAGCATGCATGTGGCCCTACCTGGCTAGTGCCATCAGCTAGAAATCATTAATCTATGTTCTATGTTCTAGAGGAAAATGCATCAACATTGTCTAACTTGACGTCAGTCATTACTGTTGTCTTTAATGCCAAAACATTTGTTTTTTACTTGCATAGAGTGGGCAAGAGATATAACTCATGCAGTCTGTGATCCCAAAGGGGAGATTTACGATCACTTGTTATCTCAACAGTGAGGGACGAGAAATCTTTCCATTGGGGACACAGACTGCATCAAAATACTTTTGTCAATAAACTGGTAAAGGGTTAAACTTTTTGTTGGGTATTATTACTGTCTGTGTCTTCCTGCCCTGGTGAGAATTGCTGCCCTCATTCCAAGTCCCACTGCAAAAGGGACAGGAAAGGAAGTGAGGTGAAATCTATGAACGGCAAAAAAAACTTGGCTTAAGTATTTACTCAGTCTATCCAAAACTAAAAGATAAACAAAAAAGGTTTTGGTGGGAGCTAACTAGACAATTCTACTTTCAAGGAATAAACACATATGGGAGGCATTGACAAAAAAAGTAGCACAAATCAAGTCCTTCAGTGCAAATGCAGAAGGTGATGTATATTAATTGGCACAGTGCAACTCCTGACAAAAACAATTCATGACAGACACTGAAAAGTTGCAGTACATTTGATTTAAGCACCATTTGCCATGTCTGTGATTGCACCTGCCACTGTGGTTTCCTTTTAACAGTTTTATAAACTTGGAAAGCTTTGTCCTATAGCTGCCTTAAGCACTTTAATCAAATTTAGCAATGCTTATGATAATCTGGAAGTCATTTTGTAAGAACTGTAAAGCATGCCCCCTTAAGACGTTTATGGTTATATGCCTTATTTGTCCATGTGTAGATGTGGTTTGATAACCTATGCTTGGAAAGATCTTGTACTGTATAGGGTTATGCAGAAAGGTTTCCTTCCAAACACAAGAAGGTACAAAGTGCACAAGTAGTTTGTCACGTTGAGCAAATGACAGCTAAGGAGGGCATTTGTGCAGCCATGGGAAATAGGGGTTTAGAAGGCACAGTTTTCTGAACCCTCAGAGCAGTTATATGATGTCATAGAGTATGTTATGTATCAAAATGGAATCTAAACAACAACCTAGCACACATATAGCATCAGTGTGCACTGATGCTCAAATTTAGAACAAAAAATGTGAGTCCTAAGACATAACACACAGTAATGTAATTTTAGAGCAAAGCAGACATATATAATACTGGGAAGCTTCACACAAAAGAAACGCTGCCATCCAAAACATATAGGTCAGTCTTAAATAATCGATCCTCAGCCAAAGTGCATTTAAAAGCAAACACTTCAGTGAACATGAGTAATGATATGTGGAAGCATTTACATTTTTATTTCTAATTCAACTAACGGAGAACTAATTATCTGCATACACATCAAACGCAGTGATTAATTGGAGACCAGAAAAATACCAGACTTAATGGCCAGATCACCGAGTGAAAATAAAGTTAAAAAAACAAAAATAAAACCAATTCTGCCATACACATGTAAGTACTGGTAAGCTTAAATAGAATACATTGTTGCTTTTGGGTTTAGATACACTTTAAGCATATTTTGCAGTGTTTTGAGTACATAGGACTGCACAAGAGTTGTCTAGTGGTTCTGCTGGAGAAAGCTATTAGATTGAATATAAATAAGTGTGTTACCCACTATTTTCTATCTTAATCTCCGGTGTCATCTCAGGGGTCAAAAAAGCAGGAGTAAAAAAAGGAGTAAGCAAAGTGAGAGTGTAATTTTAAAAAATGTGGCTTAATGATAAACTACACGTATGCAGTTTCTTCATTTAACTGCTGTGCCATAATTATTATGTTATGGTAAAATTGCACGCCAGAGAGATATTCCTAGTGGCTGTTCAGATGTGAGAAGGAGCTTCTAGAGAAATATCCCAATAGACAAGAGATTTTTAGTTATTAATATTCAATGTAACTGGACCGATTCTTTACATGTATTTTGTCAAGTTAAACAAAGGAAAATGAAAGAAAATGGTAATTTATATGCCGGGGGAAAATCAAACAGGTTTTAATTTCTGTGACTAACAGATGTGAAGTTTTGGAGCAGATATAATAAAAATCAAGCATCCGCATTACATACTCAATTCAGTGATATCTGCAACAAACTTAACAGGCAAAAAAGTCAATTCTCTACTTACTTGGCTTGTAAATTACTTTTGCAAAACGCACCAATCATACACAAGACTGAAATTGTCTTTCCACTTATCCATTTCCTAAAGTTAAACACAGAGGAAAAAGCAATTCGCTCTGTGCCCATGTTCTAATTCCTCTTAATGTCTCAAGTAACTATGCCCTTTAAATCAACAACCACAAGCATATTTAGGACTTACAAGACATATAAATGAAATCAATTCAGCTAAATGTTGCTGAATGCATTGCAGAGAGAATTTATTTCAGCTTGTTTTTCAGGTACAAAAAAACGTATCCAGTTCTTATAGCTGTACTTCGATATTAAAGGATGGAAAAGCATATTAAAAGGATGGAAAATACTGCATTAACAATTTTCCTGCTGCATACTCCAACTAAAGGAAAACTAAGCAATAAAAATGAAAATTGTTAAAGATTTAATTTAGCATTTATATACTTTGTGTAAGCCATTTTTGTAATTTTATTTTATTTAACATTAGCTTTCTTCTTACAGCAGCTGCATTTTTAATTTTCTAAAACGGTCAAAAAATTCAAAAGTGCAATATGGCGACCTTGTACTCCCCCCAGAAATGCCACTTCCTGCATCTGTGATTAACTGACTGATTTTCTCAGAAGTCTCCACTAAGATACAAGTTCATTTTTAGGCATTACTTGCAACAGGCATTTTAGATAGTCCCTAGGGGTTAATTACTACTAGGGATGTAGACACTGCACATTTCTTCTTTACAGCACAGCATGTCCACCAGCTCATTATAATGAGCTCCATCAGACCCTCCCATTCAGGAATCAAGGTGGAAAGGCCATGGTGAAAAAAACAGCTATTTCTTCAGAACAGAAACAGGTAGGAAAATGCAACAAAGTTTGCTAAAACCCTTGCAATGTACATTGATCACTTGGAGGGGATTGATTTCTTCTCAACAAAAGCGGAGTTACATTTTAAATTACTGAAAAAGATGACGGAAAAAAAAGATACACATAGATCTTGAAGATCTTAATTGAAAATATGAATCTGCATTTCATCAACACCTTATTAAAAATCTAGTAATGCCATGACTATACTGTGTAAGTAAAACAATAATTTTGTACAGTAAAAAGGTGGGTTTTTTTCTGGGGAATTACAAAAAAAGAAATAGATTGGCAAAGGATTATCAGTCTGAATGACTGTATAAGCATGATGATCTGTAAATAGCTTAATCCAGCAATAACATTGTATATGCCTTATATCTTAACATTTTGGATTTCTCTTATTTTTGGGTGGAGCATTCAAATAATCTAGTTAGGCTATCCTAGACTTTGTAGACTGATCGAACGCCAACCCACAATCCAGCCACACGATGTACAAACAAAGGTTGAAGTGCTGCCATGTTATTGCATATAGAATGGAGACAGGTGGTATAATAGTGATTGGGACAGACTTCACAACCTTTGTTGTTCCTAGAAGTTTCCTAGAAATGTTAAGGCTGGGTGCTCCTGAACATTCAAGTTTTAATAAATGCCCTTAATCCCCTATAAAGTTCTCCAGATATTTAGCAAATTATTTCATGAGCATTTGCAGATTCTTCTTTTCAGAAGCCCCTAATCCAGGGGTGCCTATTAGGTAGATCGTGATCGACCAGTAGCTCTCAAAGCTGATGCTGGTAGGTCACGAAGGGTGTGAATGGTGGCCCCTTTATTCCATTTTGGTATATTTATTTAGCTGTACACACATGATTACCTATTAGCCTGAGTCTGCTGAGCCAAGCTCCCTGACACCTTCCTGGTGGATACTGGTGGTTGAAGTGCTATGTATTACATCAAAGAATATTAGTTTACACAGCCTGTTGCAAAAAAGAGCAAGGTGAGCCAGGAGAGAGAGCGGGGAGAGACACACAGGAGAGAGAGGAAAGACAGCCAGGGGAGAGAGAGCAAGGAGAGACAGCCAGGAAAGAGAGAGCAAGGAGAGACAGCCAAGAGAGACAGCCAGGAGAAAAAAACGAGTAGAGACAGCCAGGAGGATGAGCAAGGAGAGACAGCCAGGAGAGAGAGAGGGAGGTAGTTTTTTTTTCGTTGGTAGATCTCATGTAGCTCTTCATTTGAAAAGTAGATCTTAACACAAAAATTGTGGGCACCCCTGCCCTAATCAATCTGTGAATATGCTAATTGGTATCTACTTCACTCCTTTCTCATCTTCTTATGATTGGTCAAAAGTGGTTTTATCTATGTAACTTGCATTTTATATTTCATGACTTACAGGGAATGCAGGGATCAATGTAAGATTCACGTCTCAAACACATGTCAAATGTTTAGAAAAATGCTTCAAGATGCTTAAAGACCACAGGTGCCTGTCGTTATATTCCTTATACACATTATTAAAACGTCAACATTTATACATCATACCAATAGCAGCAGCTTAAAATGCAACATAATGATCTAACATATGTGAAATTCAAAGTCATTACAGGCTGTTATCTTCACTTAACATGTCTGGCAAAGACAAACCATAATATGGCCACAGCAGGGTACCAGAAGTCTTTGGATGTAGCTTATCATTGTATACACATAGCGGTCTTAAATTGGACCTAAGATCCATCATGACATATATTTTGATAATGGACAAGTCATAATAAGGCCAATATGATTACCGTTTAGTGTGAGATAATTTGTGTATGCTCAGTTGATCCAAATAATTCTTTAAGAACAATAAAATAAAAAAACTGTATGTGTTATATAAAAATGATGGCCTAAATGTAAGAATTGCCTCTTTTGGGAACAAAATGAAGAGAATATGTTGCATCAATGTTAGTTTAATTGGCCAGGAAAACCTAAACACATATACTGTTTATTTAAACATAAAAACATTATTAAAAAGGCAGTTCAACCGACTTTTTAATAATTGACTGAAGTTGACCATGTATAAAAATGGTTGCGGATTATGTTTTAATGCATTGTGTTTAAAATATAGGTATTTCAAAAATACTGACAAATGAAGGGGAATACTTATTTTAAAAGTGCGGGGGAAAAAAAAAAAAAAGATGCTTTTACAGTGAATGTGGAATCGGGATCCGCCAGCGACAGAGTGAGGTTTTTATGCAGGACACTCCAGGATTCACAGTTCAGAACATCAGAAGGAGGAGCAGAGCATAAAGTCTGCATGGCTTCTTTCCGTACCTATAAATATAGAAAATGTATTATAATAAGTGAACATCCTTAATCAGAAAGAAACGTCCACAATGCTTGCACATTCAACAGCTTGCTTGGATGTAAACAGACATCTGTAAAAGTGGAGATAACTGCAGGGCACAGTGTATGTTAGTGCTGGTTTGCACATTGGTGGAATCCGATTATAGCATTGTCTACATTGTTTTCACCATTATATACGAGTCCTGGGATATGCTGGATTCCTGCAAAACCCCTTTTCCTGCTTACTATAAATGTAATAACTGGGGGCGTTGCCAATGAGAATTCTTTGACAGGCTTTACTTGCATATGCACATTTGGATAACCATATCTGCTCATTAGATATGCATGCTGATCTCTAGCAAACAGATGAGTGGACGTACAATGGAGAACCAATGTCATCTGTCAAAGTTGGAAAATAGTCTGGTGTTGGAAATTTAGATGGTTATTCACTAACGAGCGGGAGGATCCAGCCGTAGCTTCAGCTGATCCTTCGGCTCACTTTGGCCGCCGGAGTCCTTCGGTTCAGTCGAAGCGAAGGGCTGCTGTACGGGTCATGGCTGTGTCATGGCTGGCTCTGCCAAGTTGCTGTCCTTCAATGACAGACCAGGGTCCTCAGGTTATTTGAGGACACTGGGCTGTTATTAAATGACAACAAATGGGCAGAACCGGTCATGACGTCATGGCCGGCTCCACACAGCTGTTTTCATTTGTCGGTGAATAACCCTCCTAGAGCTCTACAGATGGACAGAGTGCATTAATCTCTAAAAGTAAAGGAGTGGTCATTCACATAAAGAGCATGATAGCATTTTACCTGTAATTTACAATGACATGGAAATATTGTACAGTAAATATACAGTACAGGACACGGGCTCCTTTAAATCATAGGCCCTGGGACATCCCAAAGCAATACAACTGAGGAGTGGGCTAGACAGCAAACAATGATAACAGGACTGCAAGAACCTCAAATCAAAAAGTAGCCTGGAGAACCTTATGGCTGAAGCTGGCGTCAGCAGAGGCCTGAGCATCCACATGGTAAAATTTTACAAATGTATGAGCTTGCAAATCTGAGAAAAAGATGCCTGGCCCTGAAAGGTTTAAGAGGCACCGAAAGACCTGGTCGAGTGAGCCTTAACCAGAAAGGGAGAAACCCTGTCCTTTAAGGCATAAGCTTAATAATGACCTGCCTAATCTACCTAGCAAAAGTGGAATGAGAAACAGGGCACCCCTTGCAGGAGCCATCAGGAAGGATGAAAAGGTTATCTGATTGAGGTATAGAGGCAGTAACTGAAAAGGTAAATTGCCTGCACCACATCCACACAGTTTTCGAAATCTATTTGGGATGCTTCAATGTCCTGATTAAGGAGGTAAAAATAAACCACCTTGGAAAGAAATGTGGCTTGTGGTCTCAGCACCACCTTATTCTTATGAAGAAGAAGCCTCTTTACGGTATAGGGCCTCTAATCCCAAAACCCATGTTGCAGACATGATAGCCACAAGGAAACCACCTTACAAGATCAGTCCCCCAAGGTAATACCCCTAATGGGTTAGAAGGGAGGCCTCTGGAGAGCTAATAAGACCAGATTAAGATCTCACCCGATAAGGGAAATGAATGTAGGAAGCAATATCAGCTAACACTTGTACAAAAGTTTTCACCAGAGGGTAAGCAGCAAGCTGCCTTTGAAAGAGAATATTGCCCGTCTACAAATGATAACTTTATTTTAAAAACTCCTGCATTCCAAAAAAGGTCTACATGATTTAAGTAATGTTATCAACGGGCCATTAATATATTTTATATATGAGGTTCACTGGCCCCTTAAAGCCAGTCAGTCTGAATGATGACAGAGGCATGGTGGCACCCCACTCCCAGCAGCCACAGCAGAGACCCTGGCCAAAATCACTCTGGGAGTGGTAGTACCATTCTAGTAGAATTGTTAAAAACAAAATTAGGTTTCAAGTATACTTTAAACAGAAAGTTGTTCTATTACACGTACCTCCTCAGGCTGCCTTAGATCTAACTGTTCAGCAATAAGCTGCAGTTGTTCCTGGTTCATAAATGTATAACTCTGCAAAAAAACATACAGATGCTATAAAAGTTGAAATACTGGCATGCATTATATTTTATGATAATGAAATAAAGTTGTACAGTTTTCTTTTATTCCAGTCCTCAGGTCCTTTAACAATTTCAGCAAGCACTATTCCATAGCTGTTCAGCATCTGACTGCAATAGCAATGCTGGACTCCCTATCAAAGATTGAAGATGCTAGATTACCATTTACACAAAGCCCCCAACCACATATGTTTACCACATCCATGCAACATGAGGGCCAGTATTACTAGTATTACTGACCAGTAATTACCATAGCTGTTTCATGTGAGGGTGTCAGGCCGAGAAAATGGGCCGGGAGTGGAACCCCTTGGCAGGGACGAAATATGTCCAAAATCGCAGTACAAAAGGGTAATCCAAATTGAGTAGTTAAGTCCAGTTCCGGGTCGTGGCAGGCAGCAAGAGTCGTAGGTGAAGGGTCAGGCGAAAGGGTCGGTAGCCAGGAAGTCAGTCCAATAAAACAGGTTCACAGGAGGGAGCTGGGTGTTCACCATAAAGGTAGAATAACTCAGCAATGAGTCGAGGCTCTGACCAGCCTTATATACACCAGGGCAACCAGGAAGCCTCCCCAGTCAGGAGCCAATCGCAAGGCCGAGGGCAGTTGGTGAATGCTGGAGTCCTCCCCCAGCCTGAGTAGCACCTGGAATGTGGGATGGCGCACTACTTGCGCGCTTCCGGGCATGCGCACGTGGCTTGCATACCGCGCACCCGGCGCGCGACTCGCCATGCGCACCGGCCACACCAGTTGCCCTGCCAGGAGGAGGAGCCTGTGCCCGATGCCCTCGCCGGCGAGCCTGGTGAGGAACGGCCCCCCTGGGTCCCTGACAGAGGGAGAGGTTGGGGTACTTGAGGACTGAAAGTGGAAACAACTGTATGCAATGTGATATATAGGGTTACATTAGGTTGACTAGATTTATTTTAGTGTTCTAATGGTACTTCAAACAGGAATGGCACCTGGCCTGTATTTTTCCAGCATGACTGGTAAAAATGTGGCATTTTATCAATGTTATTAATAGTAAAGAGACTATAAGGCTGGTATTTTGTTCCTGGAAAAGGCGGCAGTCCTAGACTCAAATGAAAATTCATGCCTACAAGATCAAGTAAAATTGGAGGTTCTAAAGTTTATGCATAGCCAAAACATTTTTTTTGTGTTGGATAGAGTAGGGAAGGATTAAAACCCCTGGATGTTATTTTATTTTTATTTTCCCTGTGTACCATGCGGAAATTATCCTTCACTTCCTGTCCCACATGCGTTATAGTAAGTTAGAGGAAATCTCCCAAAATGAGGTACTTTGACTGATATTTATTCTGTTATGCAACAATATACTAAAATGAATTTGATACCATTTTTCGGTGACAGATAGAGCTTTCTTTTGATGGTATTTAATCACCACTGGGGGTTTTTTATTTTTTTTACTATATAATGAAAAAAAGTACCAACATTTTTGAGAAAAACTGTTCTCCCTATATATGTTATAAAGCATTCATTACCCACATTTTTGGTAAAACATAGAAGATGGGGTCACGTCAGGTAAATAGCAAAAAGTTCTCCAGCACACTCACTATCATGCAAAAAAAACTTGTCTAACCACTAAGGTTAAAAACAGTGGTTTTAGATGCGCATCTTCTGCAGAATATGTGAAAGCCGCACTGCCTCGTCAAGGCTCTTCTGTGTAGTGTGGTCCTAACTCTAACCTATGATAGTCTCCATCTTGAAGCACATGTAGCAAAAGATAAAATTGGATGCAGGTTCACCAGGAGGCAGGCCAACCTCCTTAAAGGCACAGGGACACACAAGGGACCCCGCACATCGCAGCGGCAGCTGAGACTCCCAGTGTGTCACTGCACCAAATCAGTCAAGCAAAACAAATGACAAGTGGTGATATGTAACCCATGTAATCGTTATTTTGGCACGTAGGCACACCCGATGCATAGTTACGTTTATATGTGGGTGCACGCGGGGCTGAGGCCTTAAAATGTTTTGTTTTTTTATATGCGACTTTTTTTTTTTTTACACTCAAATATTATTGGTATTACATAGGGGGCTAACAAACAACCTATGTGATAGCTAAAATACAATGACAGGTCCTCTTTATGGAGAAATCAGGGGTTTCTAAGACCCCTAATGTCACCTAGGGACCCCCAAAGAAGCTAGTGAAGCAGGGATCTGCTTCACCAGCTTCTTCTCTGGCTATAGCAACCAGAGAAATAACAGCTACAGGCAGAAGAGATGTAAAACATATCACTTCCACCTTCAAGCATCGGAGGAGAGAGCAGCAGTGGGAGAATGCTGATCTCCCCTACGTTTACAGTGTCAGCAGCAGAGGGTGGGTGCGGTAGCACAGGGGTGCACGCTGTTTATTACCATACAAGTGATCAGACAGCTGTAGAGCCGCCTGTTTGGAACAGCCGGTACCAGCTCTTTACATTTACTGCAAAATTGTGCAGAAAAAAAAGAAGACATACAAACATGTCCACCTACTGATAGGAGGTTGCCGTCCGTCCATTTTACAAACTTGACGGAGGGTCTAACCCTTCCCCACTCTATCCCCCCAAAAAAAGGTTTTGCTTAGAGATACACTACAAGGTAAATTAAGTTTTGGGCTCACACATATTAAAAGGTCTGCAAGAATACTTCAGATAGAAATCAAAGAGGCAAGAATGAAGTACCACACCCAAAGTGAGAGTTCAGTTAAGCTCGCCATACACCTATAGATTATCTGCAGATTTTATATGGTCAGATGGAAAACAGATTCCTCCATCTACGCTAAACTATGGGGATGGAGGAATCTCCCACTGGGCCAAGCTTCAGTATCTTGCTAGTCGGCCCCGCTGGCTCTCAAAATGCCTAAACACTAATCAGACTGTTCAGGTATTTTGACAGCCAGCGGGCCGACTAGCAAGGTACTGAAGCTTGGCCCAGTGTATTATGTATTTACCTCTTGCAGCCAGCATATATACACACATACACACGGTATATATACACACATACACATGCACACAAACACACCCTGTATATACACACACACACACTCCCTTTAATAAACATGGGTATTTGGAACTATTGTGTTCTATGTAGACATACCTGATTGAAAGATGAATCACTGTCAGAACAGTTATCAACATATCTATAAATGGGGTGTTCATGAAGTGCCTTTTTCTGCATTTCTCGATTTTTAGCTTGATCCTCTTCAAATTTATTGATCAACGTCTCTACAACAGCCATCATAACATTCTTAAGTGAAAGCATCATCTCTGTGTATCTGAAAAGAAAGATCAATATCTTACTGCATACCTAAAACACAACACTAAATTGCAGAAATACTCTATTTTTGGAACCTGACATTAATATATTTCTCTTTTTTTTTTAACTACCAAACTATGCCCACTGTCTTCCATCAGAAATGCGTATATCTGTATCACTGTACTTCGCTGCAGAGAAGGATTTTCTGAACACACATACGCAAGAGACCTCATTTTTATACCAGTCAGTTTTAATGAAGTCTATGGAGACATTGATACAAACCTAAAAGGTGCATAGTACAGGTCAATACCCAGCTGGACAAATAGCAAACAAAAGAAATGTATTACTAGGGACATATATCTTATTTACACATGGCTTAGTTGAAAAGGGTGAAACAGTATGATAACAACAGATGTCTGTGAAATAATCTCTTAATTTGCCAGGAACATTCCTAATTTTGATAGTGGAGAGACCATGTGATTTGCAAATGTTAGGTTTGTTTTATTTGAATGCAAGATCAAAGCACACTGTAGGTTATGTTGTCATAACAAACTTGTAGGTAAAGGAATATAGTAGTATAATTCTTGGTTCAAACTGAAAGTTAGCAAAAAGCAAGGAGGATAAATTATAGATAAGGGGCACATAGAGGAACTGATACGCCCCTGCCTTTTTTCAGAAGGAACACTGGTTTCTTACAGTAGAAATAAATGCTGTGCAGGTGCCCTCCAGATACCAGGTACCCAGAAACTATCAGGTTTTTCTAAATGTCACACAATGTACCAAAAATGAATAGCTCAAAAGATATATACATGAACGGACACCTCCAATTTTGGATTACCATTAGGGTCTGTGCAGATGGGCTTTAGGCTTGTGTCGATGCTATCACTTTGACATTAGTTTGAGACGCTTCTGAGATTATGCAGAAATCTTGACAGGTGCATTTGGCCTACAGTTAAGCTCCTTCAGATCTGCTTTTGACCTGTTTTAAGCAGGTTTGCACTCCCATAGACTTGTATGGGAACACAAAACTTGTTTGAAGGGAACAAAAGCCCATCAACACAGGGTAGTTTGTACATGTGGCCAACACCCTGTAGAATAAAATAGTGTCAGTTGCAAATTTTTACGTTGCACGATATTAGCGCAACTCTTTATCAAACCCAAAAATGTAGTTAAAAATGCACTTAAGAACATTTTGAATTTTTAACACAATAAAATACCCATTTTTTTGTAAAACATAAAAGATGTGGTTACGACGAGTAAATAGATACCCAACATGCCCAGGTAAACAATTTTGTGCCTCTGTGAAACAGCTACAAACTTCAGTACCTCAAAAAGTCCATAGACGACGATTTAAAAGCCCCCACGGGTCATCAGTTTGGAGGTACGTGTAAATATTGGCCTAGAATTATTGCTCTCACTCTAGTGTGCCTAGCGATACCAAACATGTGTAGCACTGTAGCGCGATCAATGTTTTCTTATGTATACGCACCCGACGCGTGTTTGCGTGGATGCATGCATGCTCACAGGGGCGGGTCTCTTTAGACCCCAGATATTTCACCCTAGCCCCCCCCCCTCCCCCCCAACAAAAAATTATTATATGAAATACAAAAATGTAAAAAAAACAATTTTTAATAATAAAAAATATGTGTAAAAAAAACAAAACAAAAAACTAATAGAACAAAAAAACCACAACCCCACCAATTTCAAAATATTTGTTATTAACTCAATACAGTATTTTAGGGCTTTATCAATTGAATTGTGTATTTGTATCGATTATTAATTTGAGAAACATTTGCGCAATTATCGCAGGGCCTACAAATTTAGTAGCACCAGCTTTGTATTCTACCGGGCCTGTGCTTTCAGAAAATATATGGTTTGGGGGGGTCTTATACAAACGCTAGCAACACAGCAGTTGAAAATCAAATCAATGGGGAAAATTGCAAAAATGGAGTGGCCTGCTGTGCAAAATGTTCCGGAGGGCTTGGCAGCGAAAGGGTTAAATCTGCTGAAACGTGTACCATGCATGAACTCATCTTGGGATCTTGTGAGCAGCAGAGCCCTCTATGGATGACCTCTTTCCAATAAACCAATCTAGAGGTTTTATTTCAGTGACCATCATCGCAGGACATCATTGTGGTGTCATTTTCAGACAGCACACATAAATGTCACTAGATAAAGAGAATGGAGTAGCAGCCCCTGGTTCTCGCTGCTTCTTGGTAGCAGTAGCAGTTTAATTAGTATTCACCTGTCGCTGTGTTGCACAGTCAACTCCATGAGAAGCACTTCAGCTCGGTTAGTTCCTCTGATAATCGTGACTTTGCTACTGATTTTCTTCTACTCTGGTGAATACTATGCAGTCTAGTATACCTTCACTGAAGAAATCCCTAAAACAATTGAATGCTATATCTACTTTCCTTTATGGGATTGTCTTCTTGCAAAAACATGTCATTCATCCCATTGATTTTGCTGAACTTACAGCCGACAAATAACTGATCATTTTCTTGCATTTTTCAGTGCGGAGAATGTGGCCATAAAGTTTCAATGCCAAAGTCATCTAGATGTTCATGATGTTACAGCACTTCTCATCAGGGCGACTTTATGATGTCTGGCTGCTGTATTAATGTGGTCAGAGATCAGCAGCTGTCACCGAACTCTGGTTAACTCTCATATATTCTCTTATGTTATACTCAATAATGCAGTTATGCGATTCAAATCATTTTCCCACTCTGTTATCAGCTTTTATGGAAGATGAAGGATACTATTGCATTAACTGCCTGATCGTTAGCCCTTTGACTCTGTTCTCAAACAAGTTGGGAAAAAAAATGATACTTTGACAAATGATTATTTTAATGATGTGTACAGCAGCTCGTCATGTAACAAATGTTCATTTCAAAACCTGGAGCAATAATATTTAGAACAATTGCAAACAACACCTTAGTTATTATGGCAGTAAAAAATGAAGAGATGCAAAAACAATAATTAACCTAAAAAAACAAAAAAACAACATATATTGCAATTAGTGTTTGCTTCAATGTATTTGTGTGCATGAAATGATTGTTAATTACATTCAAATAATTACATATTTCCAGAGGTTATTTTCAACACACTACTACTACATACACACTATTATTAGCCCTTTACATGGCTTTAGTACATGCACAAGTCTGCAATACTTTGTCTATATACTGCATTACTATAGTGCAGACTTTTTCAACCATGTGGTGCCTACTGCTTTCCTCAGGGGTACCTCCAAATTTTGCACAGCACCATGCTTTTCCATCATGCAGGCAGGCCTCTGATGTGAAGGGGCTTCTAATGTGAAAGGGGGAGCTGTAATGTAAAAAAGGGGTGGGGGGAACTCTGATGTTAGCCCCAAAAGCACCCTTTTGCTGCCCTTTTCTTTTTGCACACATTATACAATCCACATTTTAAGCCTGAAAATTAGTTAACACCCCCAAAACATTATATATGTTCTAAAAGCCAACACCCTGTAGAATAAAATAGTGTCAGTTGCAAATTTTTACGTTGCACGATATTAGCGCAACTCTTTATCAAACCCAAAAATTTAGTTTAAAATGCACTTAAGAACATTTTGAATTTTTAACACAATAAAATACCCATTTTTTTGTAAAACATAAAAGATGTGGTTACGACGAGTAAATAGATACCCAACATGCCCAGGTAAACAATTTTGTGCCTCTGTGAAACAGCTACAAACTTCAGTACCTCAAAAAGTCCATAGACGACGATTTAAAAGCCCCCACGGGTCATCAGTTTGGAGGTACGTGTAAATATTGGCCTAGAATTATTGCTCTCACTCTAGTGTGCCCAGCGATACCAAACATGTGTAGCACGATCAATGTTTTCTTATGTATACGCACCCGACGCGTGTTTGCGTGGATGCATGCATGCTCACAGGGGCGGGGCACTTTACATTTTTTTACAATTATTTTTGCATTTATTTTATTATATATTTTTTAGAAGTTTTTTTTTTATACTTTAATTGCTATCACACAGGGGGCTTACAAGACCCCCATGTGACAGCATATTGGTGGTGACAGGTCTTCTTTAAAGGTGATACTGGGGTTCCAAAAGACCCGCAGTGTCACCTATCCACTTAAAATAAGCTATTAAAGTGCAGATCGCAACTCAGTGACCAGATGTGATACAATACATGTCACTCCAGTCCCATAGAGCGGTGAGATGTGTGGGGACGGATGTTCCCTCTGGCACCGGCATGCTAGTCCTGGGCCCGCGGTAGGGGCAGAGAAGCCTGGGAAACACTGCGGGGGTGTCAGACG